CATAGTTTTTCCCATCTTCTTTCCACATAATTTTTCCCATCTAGTCCCCACATAGTTTTTCCCATCTTCTTCCCACATAATTTTTCCCATATGCTTCTCACATAGTTTTCCCCATATACTTCCCACATAGTTTTTCTCATATACTTCCCACATAGTTCTTTCCATATACTTCCCACATAGTTTTTCCCATATACTTTCCACATAGTTTTTCCCATATACTTCCACCTGTGTGAAGATAGTCCCCCAACATTGAAAAATATAAAGTTTTTATAGCTCATTCGATTGCTCATCGTTTGCACATGTATGCACATTTCAAATTTTTGTTTGCACACTTCTAGTAAAAAAGTTATTAGCAAAACAAATTTCGGGGGACCATCTTCACACTAGCCCCCCAACTGTGAGTAAATGAATGAGCTATAGAATGAATAAACTATGAGCAATCGAATTAGCTATAGAAACTTTATGTTTTTCAATGTTGGGGGGTTATCTTCATACAGGTCGTCAAAAGGGCTGTTCGGCGATCAGCGAGAGCGGCACTCGAACAATCCCAGCGCTCGCTTTTCGATACTTCGATTTCGACTAGTCATAGCGAGGTTAATGCAATCTCTATTTGAACTATCATCGAATCTGCTCCATCTTTTGGAGCAGCCAGCGATCCAGCACTCTTTATTTAGTCGCTGGTCGAGACAGACGTCTTCTTCGCGAGGGTCAAAGTCGAAGTCGAAGTCGAAACTAGTCGTGTAAAGTCGATATCGTATCGTTGTTCAGTCATGCGTTCTTCGAGACTTTTGTATAAATTCTGTTCCGACGTTAAAATATATATTCTAGTATTTTCTTTAAAATCATGCCGCTTCATTAAAAGACGGAAAATCCCGCTTTTTCCTGCTCCTGTGACCGTTACATGGCGGACGAATTCATCTTGTGCGCGCGCTTAAATATAACGAACATTGTTTAAAAATAATCGAATTTCTGACAAACGGTAACTTTATTCAAATTCAAAGACAGTTTTAACAAATAGTTTACAGTATTGATTTCACAGAGGATTGTTTTGACAATTGTATATCAAGAAATTAAAAATATTATAGCATAACAGTAGTATAATAGTATTATATTAATTTTTCTCTTGTGTTAAAAAAAGATAAATAGTAAAAAAAAGAAAAATACAAAAGTAAAGATAAATAAAAATAAAAGATAAATAAATAAATAAATAGTAATAAATTTAAAATCGTTAAAATTAAAAGAAATATATTAATAAATTGGTAATATAATTATGTAAAATAAAATTTTTTAAATAAAAATATACACATTTTATTATCTTTAAAACGCTTATGTTTTTAAATTATAATATTACAATTTGAGATTAATGTAGTTAATGTATTTAAAAATAAGTGGGAATAGCCAAAAGATGGCGGACCAATCAAAAGTGACTTTTTTGTAACTAGTCTCTGATTGTAGTGTCTCTATGGAGAACGCATTGCAGCGCAGCCAATCACAAGCAGACATCAATCGAGTAATTTCGAGCGGAATTTTTCTCCATGTATTTTGATCCAGCAAACTGTCGCAAACTATAAAGCAATCATGTACTTGGATATGTAAAAAACAGAAACATGATTTCATAGAGATTTAAAAAATTCAAATGAGAAATCAATTATAAATTAAAAATTAAATCATTTTTTTTGGTCGTTTAAAATATATCAAAAAAATGGAACATCTCGGCTATTCCTTTTATATTTTTCATATATTATAATAAAAACGTTACTGCTTTATTCATAATAGTTCGCAAATGTTCCAATTCTTAAAAATTTATATTTAATAATTTTCTAACAAAATAAACTTGAAACAAAAGGCAATTTACAAAGTTACGTGAAATGTATCATAAAGAAATGATTCTCACCTAGAGAATTTTAAGTTGATAAATTTTAAATATTTTTTATTTAAAAATTATTACAGAACCTTAGCTTTTAGATAGAGAATTATTATTTCCAAATTGCATCAGGATTCTGCTATTAATGATTGCTGTGTATATCCTTTATTTTTTTATTTATTGTGCGCGGACAAGAGTATTCTCAATTACATAATTTATATTTTGAATTTAATTAATTAAATCCATTTAATGTCAAA